TAAACTCACGCTGGGCGCGTATGTGTGCGTGCCCAAGATCCCGAGAGGAGAATGGAGGAGAAGGGATTGGGGCATGGCCATCCTCCCTGGGGGGTGATTTCTCGCTTTCTGTCTGTCTCCGGCTTTCTGGCAAGCACACACGCCCTATAGCAAAAACCTCTCCCCCACCCCACCCCACCCCCCCAAAAAAAAGAGAAGGCAGAGTCAGGGAAGCTAGTGCTATTAATTTAACTTAATTGGATCTATGGATTACCTTCAAATTTCACTGACACCCCTATGGAAAACTTCAGCACACAGAGCTTGGCTGACCAACCTACATTCTCAGCACCCTTCCCCTTACAAATTTATGCTACAGAAGATGAGAAAGCTGAACACTCCCAGCTTAGAACTGCCATCTGACAATGTTCTAGCCAAAGAAATCTGCTGGGGGAGAATAGGCAGAGATCCTGGGAAAGATTTCACTTACTTGATAAAAAGGGTCAGACTCTACTGGTAAGCACTCCTAATTTTCTCCCTTCACTTTGCCTTAAATGTAGCGGTTATACCCTGAGCTACAGCAGCTATTTTGTGGTCATGAGGTGCCAAACCAATGGGCTAAAGATGACAGTGCAGAAAGGAAGAAGATGCCTGAAATGCTGATGATATCAGAATGACCACACCAGCCCTGGGCTGTCTCCAGCGTTTTATAATGCAATAAAATAAGTATCTATCTGTTTAAATTGTATCTAATCAGGTTTTCATCACTTGCCATCTAAAACAGTCCTACCTGATTTAAAAAAAAAAAAAAGAAAAAAAAAAAACTAAAAAAAAAAATATTCCTTTTCTTTAAAAAAAAAAAATTTAAGGGAACCAGCAGTTAGCATAATGGCTATGTCGCTGGACTCCCACGTAGTCGACCGCGGTTCGCATCCCGGATCCAGTGGCTTAAAACTCATGCCGGGTGCATGTGCGTGCGTGCCCAAGATCCCGAGAGGAGAATGGAGGAGAAGGGATTGCGGTGTGACCATCCCCCCAGGGGGGTGATTTCTTGCTTTCTGTCTCTCTGTCTCTCTCTGTCTATCTAGTGAGCGCACACGCCCTATAGCGAAAATCTCTCAAAAAAAAAAGTTTAAGAATTATTTATTTAACTTTATTAATTTATTCTTATTCTTTAATCCGACCAGAGAGATACAGAGAGAAAGTGGGTGAGAAAGCAAATTGCCAGGTCCAGGACTTGAACCACAGTTGGCCACACTGGAGCCCAGCACCTAAACTACCACACCACCTGCCAGCCCCAATATTCTTAAGTAAAGATGTAAAGGGCTTCAGCATGCTCTGGCTGCTTTGGGAGACTGAATATGATGCTGGGTAAATGATTTTACATTATTTAAACATTTGCCAGATAGTGTGTGAGATCACTGTGGGGGCAGGGGAGACGAAGAGAGATAGAGAGAGAGAAGGTACCCCTCACCCCCGCCCCTCCCCAAGAGGGATGGTCAAGTCACAATCCCTTCTCCTTCATCCTTACCCTGGGATCCAGCCACTTTAACCCACCATGTCACCAGTCGACCCAGGGCAAATGATTTTGGTGACTCCACAGATACAGAACATCCTGGCTCCCCACTTCTCCCTATACTACAGAACCCAGGAGACCATGCTCTCTCCAGAAACAGCATGGGCTTTCTTTCAAGAGGCTAGTTTATCAATGTCAGGCAGGTCATTCTATTTCTTCAAAAGACTGCTTCTTCCCTTCCCTTCCCTTCCCTTCCCTTCCCTTCCCTTCCCTTCCCTTCCCATCTCTTCTCCTGGAGAGCAGGTGCACTCAGTAGAGAGAGACAGAGAGGGGAAAAGGAGAAAAGCACCTCTCATGGGGCATGGTCATGCTACAATCCCTTCGCCTCCATTTTTCTATCTTTTCAGGATTTGGGGCACGCATGCACATGTGCTTGGAATGTCTCTTAAGCTGCCTGATCTGGGACTTAGACTATATCATCAGTCATGTGGATCCAGCTGCTTTAACCACCAGGCCACAGCATGTCCCTTCAAAAGATTGCTTGGCTTATTTTCACAAGTAAAGGAATCCCATCATTTTGTTTCCTTTTTCTTTAAAAAAAATTTAGTTGCATCATCTTTTATGTTTTGAGGACAAAAGTTCCTTTAAATAATGGAATAAATTGGATGGCTTCCTTCCCCCATCTTTTTCCTGAGTTTTAAACAGTTCACTAATAGAAGGGTTCTCAAGATGGCAACCATTTTCACAGTAGTACATATACGCACAGTTTCAACTCATCTCACAATGGAACTACGGAATGTTTCATAGAGAATTTGGAAGGTCTGTATGACTCAATGAACTAGTAATATTCTCAAAATGATCAGTGCATGAAGTTATAAAATTATGCATGGTAAAGATCCATTTAAGTGCCAGACAGATCAGTAAATTTTAACATAATAGAATACAAAAATTTCACATTTTTAACTAACCTTTAAGGAGCTACCACTTATGGAATTTGGGGTATATTATCATGAATATTCACAAAAGGTCTGAAAAAGTCTTTCCTCCCTTTCCTAACTACATTTGTGAGGCTGGGTCTTCTTCAAATACTTCAGCCAGAAATACATCACAACAGAATGAGCATAGACACACAAATGAGAAACTAGCTGGCCTCTACTAAGGCACACATTAGGGGAGATTTGTAAAACATAAAACAATGCTGCTCACTAATTTTGAAGACAGGAAACCCTTGAGGGATTCTCTCCTTACAGCCACCACATCCTGCAGTAAAAGGAGAGAAACTCCCTGAGAGCCTGAACTCCAATATCCTACTGTTTATTCCACACTCCTGTTCACAGTAGAGGAGGAAAACTGCAAGAGCTAATGTACGCCACAGGGAAGGGGACAAACACACAGCTACATTAACATACTCCACAGAAGCAGAAACAATTGAGTGTATTTTTAGATAACTAAAAATCAAAGGAGAGCTTCAAGAAATAGAAAACCAGGAAATACTTCTCCCTGGAGTACATAATAACTCCTCACCAACAATGGGTAAAACACAAGAGATCACAGAAATGTCAGAGAAATAATTCAGACTACTCATGGTAACAAAACTCAAAGAGATAGAAAACAGGCGACCCATTAGAGGAGATGAGACAATCCTTCCATGGCTTGAAGAAGGAACTCCATAAAGAAACAGAAACACTGGGGACCAGCATATAGCGTAATGGTTATGTTGTTGGACTCCCACGTAGTTGACCGAGGTTCGAGTCCCAGACCTGGTGGCTTAAACTCACTCTGGGTGCGTGTGCATGCATGCCCAGAATCCCAAGAGGAGAATGGAGGAGAAGGGATTGTGGTGTGGCCAAGCTCCAGTGAAGTGATTTCTCACCTTCTGACTTTCTGTCTCTTCCAGTTTCTCTGGTGAGCACACATGCCCTAGAGCAAAAAATTTCTCTAAAAAAAAAAAAAAAAGGAATAGAAACACTGAAAAAGAATCAAAAGGAACTTCTGGAAGTAAAGAATTCACTGTAGGAAATCATAATCTCTCTTGAAAGTATCAACAGCAGAATAGACCACACAGAAGAAATAATCTGACCTTAAAGACGAAACCTCTGATTTAGTTTAAGCAACTAAAAAGAATAGAAGACTAACCATTAAAAGTCAGGACAACATACAGGAAATCCTAGACACCATTAAATAGCTGAACAGTCACATAATAATTCTAGAAGGTGAAGAGACAGGCAAACTCATAGAAAAATCTCTTTCATGATATATTGTGTTATTGGCAGAGTCACGATATATTTTCCTATGTTTTTCTATGCAAAAATGCACCATAAGTTTTCTGACAACCCAATATTAGCTGAAAACTTTCCAAATTTAGAGAGGCTAGCAGACATCCAAATCCAGGTAATATAAAGACATAAATAGATAGAACATAAGAAGATCCTCCCCAAAGCATATCAGCACCAAACTGGAAAAAATTGAAGACAAGGAAAATATTCTAAAACTGTCAAGAGAGAAACACTAAGTTACTTACATTAGACTAACATCAGACGTCTCAACTGAAACAATACGGGCCAGGAAAGAATGGTAGGACATATTTAAAATACTGAAAGAAAAATAATTCCAGCTGAGAGTACTATACCCAGCAAGATTATTCTTCAAATTAAAAAGAAATAAAATCTTTTCCAGATAAACAAAGCTAAAAGAATTCACCAAAACTAAACCAGCTCTTCAGGAAATACTTAAGGGAATACTACACCAGGAAAACTAAAGGGAGATAAAGAGAAATAAGAGAATGCAAAACACTCCCATGTGGGTGACCACGGTATGAGTCCCAGACCTGGTGGCTTGCTCTCTCACTTTCCCTCTCTCTCTCTCGTGAATTCAAATAATAATAATAAATTTAAAATTTTAAAAAGATCTTTGTTTTAAAAAGTTCATCCTCATTAATTTACAACTTTTTTAACCAATTTGTTTTATTCTTTAGAACTGTATTTCATAGTAAAGAACAAAGTAGACAATTCAGTACATACTTTCAGAATAACCAGTGAAGTGGGTTTCAAATGTTCACAACATAATATGATGTTAAATGTTAAAAGTGGTGAATATGTTTATATCCTTGATTTTAAAAAAAATTTTTTTGGAGGGTTTTTTTGTCAAAGGGTGCACTTACCAGAAAGATAGAGAGAGACAGAGAGACAGAAAACGAGAAATCATCCCCCTCCCCCACTCCCGGGGGGATGGCCACGCTACAATCCCCTCTCCTCCATTCTCCTCTCAGGATCTTGGGCAGGTACGCACATGCACCCATTGTGAGTTAAGCCACCAGATCCGGGACTCGAGCCACGGTTGACTACATGGGAGTCTAGCGACCCAGCCATTATGCCAACTGCTGGTCCCAATCCTTGATTTTTTTTTATTATACACTGTATACATGCTTTTAAAGACCATTCTGTAACCTACAAATAAATATGTGTAATGACTATAAGTAAATCATAAATTACAATAAATTTTTAAAACATTTCACTAAAAAAAATTAAACCTGCTTCACACATCATTTTTCAACATATGAATAACAACAGGATAACCTGACAGAGACCACATTCTGTGAAGCCTAAAATATTTATTGGGTCATCAGGAAAGTCATGGCACTTTCTGCATAGAAAAACAGATAATATATCATGGCTTTCCCAATAATCTAATACTATCTGGCCCTTTCCAGAAATTGTTTGCTGACTCTTGTTTTAGAGACTCACTTTGCAATTTGGTCAAGAGGGCTTTGGAATTAACCATCTTGAATTCAAGTCCTTTCGTGCTACTCTCAGCTTTGGGACTTGGTTTCCTTTACATTATCACAGAACGGGGCTAATAAGTATGGAAAAGTGCTTAACAGAGTCCCTGGCACAGAAAGTTGTCAAGAGGTGTCAGGCATTATTATCAAATTAGCAAGAGTGTAATAGAAGTATAACAGACTTCACTGGGACTCACATTCAAAAATCAACACATAGGACAAAAGTCAAGCATAAAGGGAACCAGCAGTTAGCGTAATGGCTATGTCGCTGGACTCCCATGTAGTCGACCGCGGTTCGTGTCCCGGACCCGGTAGCTTAAAACTCACGCCGGGCGCGTGTGCGTGCGTGCCCAAGATCCCGAGAGGAGAATGGAGGAGAAGGGATTGCGGCGTGACCATCCCCCCTGGGGGGTGATTTCTCGCTTTCTGTCTCTATGTCTCTCTGTCTGTCTGGCGAGCGCACGCACCCTACAGTGAAAATCTCTCTCAAAAAAAAAAAAAAAGTCAAGCATAAAAAAATACATTGCTTTTGAAAATCCCTTAGGAGGATAACACATTATAGACAAACTGTGTCTCCAAGTAATTCTGGCACAGCTGTCTTTCCCTGCAGGATTGACACGGATCACTGTTCCTTCAGTCAAGGCCTGGGATGCAGTGGCTGACAAGTAGGAGCCATATTGTAGGGGAAAAAAAACCTTGTGTTCAAACATGAGACTCCCACACAGTGTGGAGAGAAGCTCACACTGAAGAGCAGGAAGATCAAGACAGGCTGTGGGAACAGCAGGTGCATGGCTCCCACATACTCTCGGGGCAGGACGAGCATGTTGAGTTGAATGGTGAGTCATTTTCCTTCTGTTCTCCTTTCCCTCTGGCCCCTAATAAAATACCTTAATTTGACTTCTGTAAATTTTTTTTTTTTTTGGAGAGGTTTTCGCTATAGGGCACATGCACTCGCCAGACAGACAGAGAAAGACATAGAGACAGAAAGCGAGAAATCACCCCCCGGAGGGGATGGTCACGCCGCAATCCCTTCTCCTCCATTCTCCTCTTGGGATCTTGGGCACGCACGCACACGCGCCCGGCGTGAGTTCTAAGCCACCGGGTCCGGGACGTGAACCGCGGTCAACTACGTGGGAGTCCAGCAACATAGCCATTACGCTAACTGCTCGTTCCCGACTTCTGTAAATTAAGTCATTATCTTTTAAAAAATAATCATTTAACTTTATTTATTATTATTATTTAATTTGATCAGAGAAAGACAGAGAGAGAGAGAAAGCAAGAAAGCAAGCTGCCAGGTCTGAGACTAGAAGTACCTTCAGCCATGTCGGAGTCCAGTGTCTACCACCATGCCACCTGCTGGCCCTTAAGTAGTTATCTTTTGAGAAGAATCAATAACAACTATCTCATAGAGTTACTATAATAATGAAATTAGTTGTGTGTGTGTGATGAACAATGGCAGTGATAGTTTCTATTTGAAACGCCACTGCAAACTTCCATCTGATATCTGAGGTATGTGAGAAACACCTGTCTCTTAAACTTTGCTTCTGGACATCAACTAGAGTTAGGGTATTATTTCTGAAAATCTCCCTCTACCCCCATGGTAAAGATTATTCCATTGATATATACTTACCTGGGAGAAAACCAGTGGTTGATGAGGCTGGAGATGATCATGTAGGACACAGTGATTGTCCCTGACATGGCAAGTGATATGAAGCCCAAGCCACAGAGGACACAAAGCAGGGAGAGGCCACCCACTGAGATGACCAGTCCTAGGAGGAGAACATGGTTAGGAGCATTCATCTGAAATGGGTTGAAAACTGGCAGACCCTGATCCAGTGTTTTTAAAATAGTAAGAGTGGACTCAGACTTTTTAAGTGAGGAGATTTCCCATTAAAAATTCCCAGTTTCAAGGAATACTCTCACCACCCAAGTGGGCGTCAAGCCTGGCAACAGTTGGTCCCCACTTGTATTACACTGAACTGCTTTGCTCATTTTTGTTACCTGTCTTGCCCACAGGTATTTGTGTCAGAGACTCCTTTATCCTCAAGATCAGAGATGGAGTCCTAATTGAATCCTCCAGAAGGAGTCAGTCAAGGCAGTATTGAGGGAGATACATTATCTCCAACATCTCAAACTGCCTAATGGGTACAGTAATTTACACTCACCTCCAAGCTCTAGGTATAAGGGGTATGCAAGCTAATTAAAGCTACATCTAAGTGTAGCTTCTGATTAGATCCTCTGTGCCAAAGCCTGGCAATTACTGCATGTTAATCATAAGGTCTGATCGGTCATTTTTACTTACCATTGAATATTTTTAAGGGAATATTTATACATTACCATCTAAATAAGTGCAAGGAAAATACATTTCTCATAGTATGGGGTCTTAAGGGAAAATGAATAAAAGGGACAATGCGAAGGTTACAGGCCTTTATAACAGATACGCCTGAGTTTGGTCCCAGGGAAGTCATTTACTGTGAGACTTTGGGCATCTTGAGCTTTAGTTTAACTCACATGTAAAAGGGAACAATAATTATTTCCTCTCAGTGGTGACATGATAATTAAATGACTCAATGGGTGTGTGATGGATGGAGGTATTGTCTGTCTGCCCAGCATGCATTCCTTTGCCTCCCTTTTAACAAATTCCTCTTTCCATCTAGAATAAATACATAGCAAATGTTGCGTGGCAAACATCCTCCTCACTTCCTTAGGAGTGGCTAAATGGTCAACTACACCAGCCCCATAACCACAATGATAGTTTCAAGGATAAGACCCTGAAAAGGCAGGCACAGAGTTCCTATAAATGAATGTGCTGTCTTTTCATAAGGATTTCCAAAATCCTAGATCATTGTTTTTCAAAGGGTGGCCACAAACCACCTGTATAAGAATCCATGCATTAGAGAAGATTGTTAAAAAATTCAGGTTTCTGGATCCCACTCCAGACCTACTAAATAATGTTCTCTGGATGAAGCCATAGAAGTCTACATTTTCAAAAAGCAAGTAATTATATACATCCAACTTCAACAACCACTGTTCTAAAGGCTTTGGACGTACCATTCCCCTGTCCAAAAAGCTCTTCCTTGCCCACCCTGAGACAAAGTTGTTACACATCTCTAAAATGTTGTCTTCTATACAATTTTCCATGTAAACCTAAAACGCAATGGTTCCCTTCTTTCTCTCTAAGTTAACTTTTGTCCTAGTGCTCATTCATGCCTCTAGCTATTCATTTATTTGCCCATCTACACATCAATATTTACTGAACAATTATTCTGCCAGGCTATATTTGGTTCACCCAGCTACCCTGCCCACTTTTGCTTTTAAGTATAAACTCAAAGTCCACCAGGTGGGGAAACAACCTGGGTGCTTTTAGCTCCGGGAACCCATGGAATGGACCAGAAGTGATCACCTGACCTCCTGGGAACCATTTCTTCGGCCACTATCCTGTGTTCTGTGATCTGACTTGAAAAGGCAAGATCAGCCAATCAGACTGACTTACTCAGTCATAGTAACCTAACAACGTGGACAGTGACACGTCAAGAAGGTGGTGAAGCTGGATTCCAGTACCTAGCCAGGCATTTGGCAATAGGCACTCAGTATCGAGCTGTGGGAGGAATGGCCTCTCTGCTTCACAATAAAACAACCCTTTAATATGATATTATTGAGGCCAACAGGTGGCAAGGTGGTTGAGGCACCAGACTGTCATATGGCTGACGATGGTTCAAGTCTCAGACCTGGTGGCTTACTTTCTTTCTCTGTCTCTGGTTAGTGCATGTGCTCTACAGCAAATTAAATAAAAATAATAATAATAAAATTAAATAATTATTTTTAAAAATTTATTTTTAATTGCCAGAGGGCATATACACTCACAAGAGAAAGAGAGGGAGAAAGCACCTCCCAACAGGGCATGATCACACCACAATCTCTTCTCCTCCATTTCTTTCTCTCGTTGAAATTTTGGGCATGTATACACATGTGCTCAGCACATTTTTTAAACCATTGGGGTTGGGATTTGAGCCTAGGTCAGCTATGTGGGATCTGGCTCACCTCAACCATGAGGGTATGGGGCCAGCCTGAGAGTATCATTAAATCCTCATTTTACCTAAGAAGAATTTGAGGGTCGGAGAGGATAAATAACTTGTCTAAATTCTCACAGGGGAGGTGGGATTCCAATGCAGACTCCAGAGTCCACGTTTTGACTACTCTGACAAGCTGCTGTGTGTGATTTTGATAGGAACTGGAACCTCTGACAAGAATGGCAAATGTCCAATAAATATCATCTTCCCAATAGAGTGATTTTCCAAGGGGGTAAATGACCAAGTGGGATACCTTCCAGTAATATGACGCCCACAAGAGCAGCCACGAAGGTCAGCACCACGAGGAGCAGGAAGAACCCAACAGGAACGGTCGACACGACAATGAACACCAGCAAGGAGAGGGCCAGGAAAGGATGCCTGTCCAAGTACTGCCCCAATGGGGACTTTACAAAGGCGGCCACCTGCAAGCAAAGGACAAAGGGGAAGGAGTAAGTACCATGTCTGAAATTCAGGTCGAATGGATCCGCCCAAGCTATGGGAAGTATAAGCAGAAGTCAAAAAGTTAGACGGTTCATCAGTAAGAAGTAACAGCGTTAAGACTTCCAAGACAGGAGTCACCTGAGCAACAACTTCAGGCAGCTGTGGACAGATGGCAAGCCTGAAGGCTCCTCCTAACCTCAAGTCTTGTGAAAGGAAGAAAGTCCCAGTGGAAGACATCTTCAGTGTATGTGAACATTCAATGCAGTATACATTCAATTTGTCTACTTTATAGCTGAGGTTCTCACGGTTGAGGTCACTGAGGCACAGAGAGGTTAAATCCTAGCTATTCAGCATCACCTACGTGCTTGTCAGAAATGCAGGATCTCAAGCCTTTCCATGGCCCTTCCATGGACCTGGTGAATCAGATGCTTTTTTTTTTTGAGAGTTTTTTTTGCTATAGAGTGCATGCACTCGCCAGACAGATAGAGACATAGAGATAGAAAGCGAGAAATCACCCTCCAGGGGGGATGGTCACACCACAATCCCTTCTCCTCCATTCTCCTCTCGGGATCTTGGGCACGCATGCACACGTGCCTGGCGTGAGTTCTAAGCCACCGGGTCCAGGACGTGAGAGTCCAGCAACATAGCCATTACGCTAACTGCTGGTTCCCTAAATCAGATTCTTTTTATTTATTTATTTTTCTCTAGGGCAAGTGCACTTGCCTGAGAGAGACAGAGAGAGAAGGAAAGTGAGAAATGAGTCCCCAGAGGGATGGCCACCCTGCAGTCCCTTCTTCTCCATTCTCCTCGAGATTTTAAGCATGCGTACACAAGACCTAGTGTTTTTTCAAGCCGCCAGATCTGGGACTCAAATTGTGGAGTCAGCTATGTGGGATCCAGTACCTTAACCACCATGCTACCTGCTAGTGCCTGCTTTTATAACAATTATTATATTATATTAAAGTTTATTTATTTTCTGCAAGAGAGACAGACAGATACCCCCTCCCACATCCCCGCAACAGGGTCTTTAGGCCATAATTCACCCAGACTCAGCCATCCTGGATCGCAGGCATACATGCATATATTCAGTATGTACAGGGAGACCTTGGGACATGATCCTGAGACCTTCCTATGTGGCCTCAGCATCATGGAACATTGCATTACTGCTGTACCATTCAAGTGGTCAAAAGTGACTTATTTTTAAACCCACTCCAGGCATGGGAAGTTCCAAAGTAGGCACAATGTGGTTAGTATTTGAGGACATCAAGGCTCCACTTGGGAGTATTCATCATGAGCCAGGCAAATTCTCTGGTGTCAGAATGCAATCGACAATCAGCAATTTATTGTCTGTTGCTGTTGGGGGGAGAACGAGGAGTCAGGATCATTTAAAACCACTGGTGATGACAAGTCAAAAGTTCCTTGGGAAAATGTCTTCTACTTTACATTCCTTGGGTAGCTGCTGGCATGTGATTCCATGGGGTTGGCACAGAAGTGCCCTGGGAGGTTGTTCAAAAACATCCTTTGTGGCAGGAAAGACCAGCATGAAAGCAAAAGTACTTTGAGTTGGCATGGAAGATAAGGTGCTGGATCCCACATGGCCAACTGCATGGTTCAAGTTCCAGACTCAGTAGCTTGAGAATCACAGTGGGTGTGTGTGTACATGTGTCCAAAATCCCAAGAGGAGAAAGGAAAAGAAGGGATTGCAGCATGGCTATACCTCCTAAAGGGTAGTTTCTTACTTTCTCTGTCTCTCTGCTCTATAGCAAAAAAACTTAAAAAAACAAATAAACAAACAAACAAACCCCACAAAAACAAAACAAAACAAAAAACGAAAAACCAAAATACAAATTTTCATGCTTATAAAGTAAGCTAAGCTTGGAGACCAGCAGGTAGTGTGGTGGTTAAGGCGCTGGACACTCCCACATGGCCGACCAGGGTTCAAGTCCTGAATCTGGTGGCTTACTTTCTCACTTTCTCACTTTCTCACTTCCTCTCTTTCTCACTGTTACCCTCTGTCTCTCTCTCTCTCTGGTCAAACTAAAAAAAAAAAAAAAAAAAGTAAGCTAAGATTAAAAATTTGGGGGGGGGGGCATTGTCGGACATCAGGCTGCCTGTGGCTGCAGGCCCTAATGGCCAGGACCCATGGTTCACCCCACCTCCCTCACTTTTGGACCTCAGGTTTGTGTCTTGGGACTTTAAGAGGAACTTGCACCCCACCCCACCCCATCCAGAGGCTGGGTCAAGCTAGCGGCATTACCGGACACCAGGCTGCCTACGGTTGCAGGTCCTAACTGCTGGGACCCATGGCTCATCCCTCCCCTCCACTTGCCTTTGGCCTCTCAGAACTTTGGTGTTTTGAATAGCACATGTTGCGTGCCGTGTGATCTTTTCTTTGCTCCTGAGGTGAAGTTCATCAGCTCAGTTAGAGGCTCACCACTCTTTAAAAACAGGGAGGACTTTGGGTCACCAAGGACCTGTGACAAGAGTGCAGGGTACTGCTGAGCAACAGAGAGGCAGGCCAGAAGAGAGATCACCAATGTTCTACTGCACACCTTTGAACACTCAAAGGTACCTTGAATACGTTAGGAAGGAACGTATAGACTACTAGATGACTAGGAACAACTGCAGAGGCACAAGAAATAAGAGCAACCAACAAAATGTCTCTCCCCTAAAGGAAAATGTCAATCCCACATCACCCACAGACAACACAATGGAGGTCATGGACATGTCGGATAAGCAATTCAGAATATTTGTAGTGACCAAACTAACTGAGATACAAGAGAAAAGAGACAATGAGCTTCAAGAGATGAGGAAGTCCTTTCATGATTTGAAAGAAGAAACTGACACTTTAAAAAAGAATCAGATGGAACTGTTACTGATAAAGAATGTGATACAAAAAATTAAAACCTCCCTTGAAAGTATTAAAAATAGATTAGATCATGCAGAAGATCAAATCTTGAATGTAGAAGACAAAAACTCTGACCTAGAAAAAAAATGAAGAAGATTGAGAAAACAACCAAGAAAAATGAGGATAATATACGAGGAATACTGGATACCATCAAGCACCCCAATATTTGGATAACTGGTATTCCAGAAGAAGAAAAAAATAAGGGCATTGATAATTTATCCTATGAAATCTTGGAAGAAAACTTTCCAAACCTAGAAAGGCATTCAAATATCCAGGCCCAAGAAATACACAGGACCCCAAGAAGATCCTTTCCAAGGCACATGATAGCCAGATGGGCAAAACCAACAAAGACAAGATACTAACATTGGCAAGAGGGAAATGTCAAGTTACTTACAAAGGCCACCCCATCAGGCTAACATTGGACCTCTTGTTGGAAACAATGCAGGCAAGGAAAGAATGAGGAAATATAGTCAAAGTGTTGAATGAAAAACAATCTCAAGCAAGAATACTATACCCAACAAGATTATCTTTCATATGGGAAAAAAGATAAAAACATTCTCAGAAAACTAAAACCTGAAAGAGTTTACCAACTCCAGACCAGCTCTTCGAGAGTTCTGAAGGGAGTGCTATACTAGGAAAACTAAAAAGCCAGACAGACAGTTATAAGAGAACAAAAAAACAACCAAGAAAATGGCTCACTTAATGACAGGAACAGGTCCAGAAATACTGATAACATTGAATGTTTAACCAGAAATACTGATAACATTGAATGTTAATGGATTAAATTCTCCAATTAAGAGACACAGACTGGCTGAATGGATTACAAAAACAAAACAAAACAAAACAAAAAAAACCTCTATCGTCCTCAAGAAATGCACCTTAGGGTTAAAGACATACATAGGCTAAAAGTGAAGAGCTGGAAAAAGATATTCCATGTAAATGGAAATCAAAAAAGGGCTGGAGTTGTGGTATTGATTTCAGACAAAATAGGATTCATGACTAAGACTGTAAGAAGAGACAAAGAAGGGCATAGTAAATGGGTTAATTCAGCAAGAAGACATAATGACTTATTCATACCTATGCACCCAACAGAGGAGCACCTAAATATGTGAAGGAGAGACAGCTGGAGCTAAAAGGAGAGATAGGGAGAAACACTATAATTGTTGGGGATGTCAACACCCCATTATCTCCTTTAGACAGATCTTCTAAACAAAAAATAAATAGAGAGATAGAGGACCTAAATGATACTGTAAATCAAATGGGCTTGACAGATATCTATAGAACTTTCCAACCTAAGATGACAGAATACAAATTTTTCTTACCCTGGCATGAAACCTTTTCAAAGACTGACCATATGATAGGACACAAATCAAGCCTTTACAGATTAAAAGACATAGAAACTATATCCAACATCTTCTCTGACCATGATGAAATTAAACTCAATATTAATTTCAAGAAACACTTTTGAAAATACACAAAAACGTGGAAACTTAACAACATAATTCTGAATGACTTCTTAATTACTGAAGAAATTAAGTCTGAAATAAAAAAAATATTATGGAAACAAATGATGAGTACACGAGTTTTTTGTAATCTATGGGACATGGCAAAAGCAGTCATAGGAGGTAAATTCACAGCTATTAGTGCACATAAGAAAGAGATGGAAAGGTGGCAAATATATAACCTAACATCATGCCTCAGGGAATTGTAGAAACACCACCAACAACAAAATGCCAGGCAAAAAGAATTAATAAAGATTCGAGCAGAAATAAATGAAACAGAAAATAAACAAACCCAAGATTGATACACCATTGGCTAGACTGATAAAGAAAAAAAAAACCAGATAAATCAAATACATGCTAAACAGGTAACATTACAACAGATAAAACAGAAATACAAAATATCATTAGAGGATATAATGACCAACTATATGCCAACAAACAAGAGAACATGGAGGAGATGGACCAATTCCTGGATGCATATAATCTATCAAGATTAAATCAGGAGGACACAGAAAAACTTGAATAGATCCATAACAAGCCATGAGATTAAATCAGTAATAAATAATCTCCA